ATTCCAGTCCAATTGTCCTGTCTTGACATCCCATTTTTGTATGAGCACAGCTACTTATTAGAGAGGGTATTCTGGTGACTTTAATGGGCCCATACCCATTCTCTATCTATTTAGACATTTAAAACTTAAATAAGAGGTTTTTTTTTTTTCTTTTCAATTTGCTCTGTTGGTTACTTTCTTCCTCGCTTGATCAGGGTGTGGTGCCTACGATGCTTGATGGAGACATGTTGGCTCAGTTTTTGGAGCTTACAAGCATCCAACAAGAAGCTGTGTTGGGATTACCTTGTGCAACTGTCGAAGTGTCATCAATCTCCAGGTCACCTCATTCACCTGTATCAGTTGACCAGGTGGTGCAACTCCTTGAACGAGTTCACAATGTACTGAACTGAATACTTGATAATCTGCATTTATAAGGTCTCTGTCTGGAACATCAATCTGCTCAGTTGGTCCAGCTTCTGTATATATGAGGCTGCATTGCATACTGAAGGATTGTACTGCTGAACAGCCGCAATGCTGTTAAAATTGTGGCACAAATTTTGCAAGTTGAAGCAAAATCTGAAATTATTCATTATAGTCCTGTGACTTCTTTCCGGAGCTGCAATTGGATGTTCATTGGCTCTCTGAATTTTGCTTCATCTGCAGAAAAGATGATCCAAGATCAAGAAGCCCACTTAGAAGCTCCGTGGATCAAGAACCAATTGCCCTTATCTTGAAATCACTTTGGTTTTATCTGTTTCCAAAGAGGGCCGAAATTCTATGTTGCATATCATTGGTGGATTGAAGATTGGAAGCAATTTGGCATACATCACACTTTAGCCCATTTCACTACTATTTTTGGGCGTGTGTTGCTTGGTCCATTTACTTAGTATTATTTAGCTTAAGTATGTTTTTTATTTTCTGAAAAAATAATGCCAAGAGTTGCTCTTTGGCTGGTTGTAATAGGAAGAGTTTAACTCTTCATCTTTAGGCTTAATTAGTGCATTTAAGCTAGCTTGTATTAAAGGAAAACCATGGCTTTTGGCTCTCCATATTTTGGAAGGTTTTCCTTGCCTTTTAGTGTGCTTATTTGCTGCTCCTTTCCTCTATAAAAAGGAGAGCAAAGAAATAAAATCAGAGTTTTGAGTTATACATAAAACCGTGAGGTTGCTTAGCATTCTTCTTTGTGTTTGTCCAAAGTTTGAGTGTTGTTCCTTGTTGCTTTGAGTTAGTTCTTGAGTGACAAGATTAGGGGGAGATTGAGTGTGTTTTGTCTCTAGCCTAAGAACCCAGAACTTTGAGTGTGTTCTTGAGTTTTGGTTAGTTTTCACCATTGTAAGTTGTTCCAAAGTGAGTAGCCTTTCATTCAAGTCAAAATACAATAACAACTTGTTGGAGGGGTGTTTTAGACTTACATCAAAAGATAATGCATCACCATTCTGAGCGAGTGGTTCTTGGGCAGATTTTTTATATACCTTTTTTACAACTAGCTAGTGGATAGTATATGATGTATATCATGTGGGAATTCGTGTACAGAATATGTAAAATAAACTTATTCCCTATCTAATGAAATAGATGAATTTCTTGGCCCAGTAATCTTCACTGAATCTGATAAAGCTGCTGTGTTATTACTTATTAGGTTGTACTGATGTGAAATGACTTTTCGAAAACAGAAGGAAGAAAAAAAGCCTCCAAAGCAAACTTGAAATAGTTGCACCATTTTAAAACCACTCTCCATCAAAAAACAGGAAATGAGGTTGAGGTGATGGGAAGCGGTTATTAAAATCCGCTTCCAAAAATCCACAAAAATCCACCAAAAAAAAAAACAAAAATGAAACATACATGGGGAGCGGCTTTGGGTTAAACCGTTCTCAAATATTGTAATTGGAAGCGGTTTGATGTTTAAAAAAAACCCTAAAAGATACGGGCCTTTCTCTCTCCTCCTCTTCACTCTCACGTTCTCATCTCTCTCCTCTCATCTCCTTCTCACGCATCTCTCCTTTCTCTCTCCTCCTCTCCATTCTCATCTCCTTCTCATGCATCTCTACGCATCTCTCTCCTCTCCATTCTCATCTCGTTCTCACGCATCTCTCCATTCTCACCGAGCAGACCCCACTAACAACAAATCCACCGAGCAGCCCCCACCATAGCAAACCATCGAGCATCACCAACTCACCGAGCAACAATGCAGCACCAATAACAACACCGACGAGGCGACACCCACCGAGAATCACCAGCGTTTTCAGATATAATTTTAATTTAGGTAAGAATTTAGATATAGTTTTAATTTTTTTCAAATTTCATCTTTTATATGCAGTTCTGAACTGTTAGATTATGTTATATTGCTTTGATTGGTTAGATTTATGGTTTATTTGCATTTTTTGAGTTGAAATTTGGTCTAATTTTTTTTTTAATGTTTGTCTGTTGCGGTGGAGGCTTCAGATGCCATGGTGGCGGAATGGCGGTGCCAGAATAGCAGTGCGGTGGTGGCTTCAGTAGTTTTAATTTTTTTTTGAATTAAAATGTAATATTACAACTAATTATTAATGGAAATATATATTTTTATACATATGGTTTATTTTTGTTTATCAATGTATGTGAAAAAATATTTTTTTTTTATATTTATTTTAAAGCCATAACGGGGAGCTGTTCAGGCATAAAACCGCTTCGAATTCCCTTCAAATAGGAAGCGGTTCAAACCGCTTCCCATTTAAAATAGCTATGGGAAGCCCCCCAAGCGCAAGCGGTTCAAAAACCGCTTCCCACTAGGGTTATGAATCGCTTGTCATTTACAGTTTTCTACTAGGGTTATGGGGTAGTGGCATTGCTCCCTCCTCGTATCCCTAAGGTCTATGGATCAAACCTCATGGGTCTTATTTGAGGGATTTCTCTTATCTCCTCTCAAATGAGCTCCCTTCTTCTTACCATTATTTTTTAAAAAAAAAAATCAAGAAACAGTTTATAGAATCTTAAAGTTATTACTCTACCTTCACAACTCACAAGATCATCACCAACTCACCAAAAGGGGGATTAAACTAGGAGAGGTGATAAGGATTTTACGTTTTTTTAATGACGAGTATATTACCTTAAAAGGAAATGATGTAACGATACATTAAATCCTTTTACAAAATCAGTGCTACTATTTTGAAACGAAGGTTAAAAAAAGAAAAAGAAAGACTCATTAAAGAATTAACAAGAATAATTTCTTAAGTCCATCTCAAAGAGTTACTCTCTCCTTTGAAAAACCCTTGTTCTCTCTCCTCTAAATATCCCATCCTCTTCTCTAGTAACCATAGGCCTCGTCGGAGATTAGGCATTACCAAACCTGTACTTCTGGCGCTCAATCTCCGACATGAGGCCTTATCCCAGTCGCTTCATCATTAAACGTTAGGAAAGTTTTGAAGGAGATTTTGGTTGTTTTTAAAGAGATTTTAAGGAGAAGGGTCTTGTTGTAGATCTAAGTACCTTCTTTTAAAGACACCTCAAACAGTTTCGGGGTCTTGAGCTAACTTGGCGCCATTGTCAGGGGTTTGCTAGAAAAAAAGGTGTTTGTGATGCAAGCATCAGTTTGTTGGAGGGAAATATAGGAATTACAGAAGTTGGCAGGTGTAGACACCTACTTTTGTCCTCTTGTCCTAACGTGAAGTGCGATGATGTTACAAAAACACGTTCTTCATGCTAGGTGTTTATAGACTCCGAAATACATTATGAAGTAAGTTAAAACTCGTATTTGAGACCAAATTATCTTGCAGCCTAGTCCGATTACTAATTAGGCTAAAAACGTGCTCATACATGTTTAATTGATTAATAACGGACCTAAATGCGTCATATGCAGTGATTGGATCAAATGGATCTTACATTGTTAAAAAACAAGCCAACCAGAACATTTAACAACCCAATATCCATCCAAGGCCTATACATCTGGACATTACTTTCAAAGAGCTTTCCAATGGTATATTATAAACCCAATTTCGAATTAAAACGAAGAAGTTATCTTCAAAAATACTAAATCGGGCCCTAGCACTCAAAACGACATATCTTTTCATAAATAAAAGATTTTGACCTAATTCTAACGGCATTGGATAGTAGACATTCAGAGCTTTCCAATGATATCTTATTTTCCTTAATCCAACTTTACAATCAAAAGTTATGGAAGTTTTAAAAACGTGTTTTCGTATAAGGCAAACCGCACCGCGCACAACTTCCAATGTAGTCGCGGCTGCCGCGCACAAGTCTTATAGTTGCGCTCGGCACTCCTACGCAACTTTGAGAGTTGCGTGCGCCACCTGACATCTGATAAGTCTATTTTTTTTATATATATATATATATATATATATATATATATTCCCCGTCCCAATGGTCATAATTGTGTTTATTTGAGCTCTACGGAGCTACTTTTGTTACTAATATGCGTTTTCTAGTGTTTTCGTAGATTTGGTATTATTTTATAGGAAATTGCAGATTTGGAGCATTTTCCTGGATTTATTGGAGCCACTACGCGCATTGGAGTAAGGTCGCATTTATATGACCATATTCCGAAGCCCATGAGCGGTTCGAGTCATCAAATGGGGCAATGGACCATGTATTCAGAACCCAAATAGGAAATGCGAATTGGGCTAAGAAATGGCCCAATTGAAGAAGTCCAAGCTTGCCCGGAAGCTCTCCTGGCAGGGCGATCCCTCACCTGAAGGCGCGGCCGGTAGGGCGAGGATGAAGGAAGAGAGTAGTTGTGCAATACTCCGTATTTCTATGTATTTTATTAATTATTAAAAATTTTATTAATTATAAAATATATTTTTAAAGTACTCAAGTATTTAATTAAATTTTTAAAGGGCTTAAGAATTTAAAACATTGAGTTTTATAAAAGTATAATTTATTTTGGGCTAAACATTTATTAATTGTTTGGGCTTGTTTAAATAATAGTATGTAAACAATTCTTACATATTCCTAGTGGAACAACCCATTTCATTTAAGTAAGCCTAATTTTTTTATTTGAACCCTTGTGGGTCAAATATTTCATAACTAAAGCCCATTTATTTATTAAGCCCAAACACAATCTCTACTATCTACTCTATAAATATCCCCCAAAACCCCAAAATTTTCCCCTCAAAAGGCAAATGGTAAAAGTAATTTATTTTCTTTTCTTTTCTATTTTTCTTTCTTTTCTATTTTCTTTCTTTTCATTTTTTCCTAACTCTTTCCTTCTCCTTTACGTGAAACCCATGAATGGGATTCTAATCCCATTAACTTGCTGCCCACATCACCTCACGCTACCCCTCGCCACCTTGCAGCCACCTCACACCAGCCGGCGCCGGTCACCTCCGGCCGCCCAGCCACCGCCGGCGACCCGCGGCCAGCCACCGCAGTGGTTTGTCCCTCCTCCTCCTTGTTTTAAATTATTGTTTATGTAATTATTTGTTTTGGGTTTTGATTTTTGATTGATAAATTATATTAGTATATGGTATAATTGTGTTTTGACAACTAAAGAGTATAAATTATCGATTTTGTATGGTTTTAAATTATGATTTTTTTATAAAGGATTAAAAATTAGGGTTTTAATTATTTAAGTATTGATTTTTAGGGTTCTAACTTACAATTGATTTAGGGGTTTTGTATACCTATTGATTGTAAGTAATAATAAAGCTGAAAGACTATATTTTTATGGAGTATTAGTGATTTTTTAATAAATTAATATTGCTGGAATTTTATTTTAAGCACTACTTTTGTGTTTTAATAAAAAGGGGTTGATTACCCATAAGTAGAGAAGGTTTTAATTGGTTTTAATATAATTTTCAGACTTATTTGAGGGATTTAAATCTTAAAAAGTGTGCTGAAATTTTATATAAACACCATGAATGAGGTTTTATTTTGTGGTTTTAATTACGCACTTAAAGAAAGAGTTGTAAAGGTTTTAAACCAAAATTTCAGCTTATTAGAAAGTGTTTAAAGTGTTTAAAAGTTGCTGAAAATTTGTGTAATTAAGGGAGTAATTGAGTTTATACATTTGGTATTGTAGGAGATTTTAAGTTGAGTAATTTCTAGCATTGTGGCTAGTTGGAAAGATGATTTAAGGTATGTTCGCGTACTTGGTAAAGTTTAAGTGTATAGAAGCATGCTAGGCTTTGTCAAATTAATTCCAAGTAGTATCATGATAGGTGTTGGATGGAATTTGTTGATTGGATTGATGTTGGTGAATGATTTGTGATGTATGAATTAATTATGGTGATTTGGTAATAGGAATTAATTATATTGGCATGTTGATATTGAACCATACTTTTATTATTGGCATGTTAGAGAGCATGTTTGATTACACTAAATGTTTAATTTGGTTTGGAATATGAAAAATGAATTTTATTATGGTTTATATAATTTTTATTGATGCTATAAGCATGAGAAAAGAGCTATTTAAGTGTCTTAGTACACATGGATAAACTATACTGCGGTGCCTACGTGCACTTAAGGTGTTTCTAACACTGAGGGATAGGGTTTGCGGTGCCTTATGCACTTAAGGTGTTATTTAACACCGAGGTAGTTTAAAAAGGATTCCACACTAAATTATGTGGTCACCAAATATTCAAGAATTAAATTGGTTTGTTTGATTGCTTGAATGAATTGTAATGTTTGGTTGTATTGTGTTGGAGAGTCATCACCAAGTCTAATAATTTGTAAATAACGTAAAGTGAAAGAGATTACACACCAAAACTCTTGGAACGTATATACCTTGAGTATGAACATATGGGGGGAGTTATGCGACTTTATATTTGACCATAACTCCTACTGGGGGTACGGGACGCTAAACTTTCCTTTTTATTTATTTTATGCGCAGGACGTCTAGTCACTTCATGTGACAATTGCCTACCCGGTTAGCTCCCGGTGTAGTTTACCTCACTTGTTTAAGGCAGGGATTTGGTTGGAAACCCGTTCGATGTGTAATCAAAATTAAATGAATATTGTTAATAGTCTAGTCAAGTGATGAATGTTGAGTTCTTGTAAACAGGTGCATCAAGGTAAGTTGTATGTTAATAGGATGAAAGCATGTTAGTGTGTTCTAATTACGCTTATGTACCCAGCTTTGCTGATTGTGTGTTTGCATGTTTGTTTGGCTTTATCTTTACATTGGCCCTACGACGACCCATTTCTAATGGCAAGTAGTGGGGACAAGTAGAGAGAAGCTTTTCAGGTGATGAAGCATAATCATGATAGGGCATGAGTGAAGAGTGAATCATGCTTAGTTCTCATAGGAATATGATTTGTTTATTGCTTTCAATTATTATTTCTTTACGTTGATCATGAGACTAACGCAAGAAGATTTTTAAGTGTTTTGGATTTAAGGGCCTACAATGGTTCCAAGTTGTAGGTTGACTTCGTTTGACTTTTACTTTCGTTTGGTTTGACTTTAAAGTTGACTTGATTTTAAATGGTTTTAAAGATAGTCCTTCGCTGTGTATCTTTGATAATTGTCTTAGCCGTTTTCACGGTGGCAGTAATATGTTAGATTTTCCTTTTTTCGTTTTTTTAAAAAGGGCAAATAGGTATTTTAAAGGAAAGGAATTTCTAGGGTGTTACAAGTTACTTGCCCGAAGGCGCGCCCGACCGGGCGAGATGCCGCCCTCGCCCGGCGCGTGTTTCTGAAGGAGTTTAAAGATATAATTTGTTTTATCTTTTTATTCAAAGTATAAATACGATTTATTTTAGGAAGTTAAGGACGGTTTTTAACTCTCTTTACTCAAATTACGGATTATTATTAGTTTAAGCTTTTGTTAATACTCTTACTTTTCTCTCTCTACACTCTTGAGTTTTATGCAATTCATTATTTTCATTAATTTTGGTAACGATTTCTTCCCTCTTTAATTTCAGTAATTTAATTGCTTTGATTAGTGGAGATTTAATTATGTGTGAGTAGTTTAATTCTAGGGTTTGTGAGGATCCATAAATAATATGAAGGGGTATTATTATTGTTGATTGTTAATGCTTTGGTTAATTTCCTATTGATTGATTTAGCGCTGTACAATAAGATTAGCGCTGGTTTAATTGTATGAGTTATGCAATATTGATTCGAGATTCGAGAGATGAGAATTGATGTTTAAGCTTAGTTTCAATAGGCAGGTTAATTTATAAATGGTTAAGTCAAGATTCGAGAGATGCGATTTAATACCGGTAGATTAATTTTGTGATTATAATACGTAGCGAAAGCTCTTTATAATCTGATTAATCTATGCATTGATGATTGATTATTATGTTTACCCTGGAGTATTATTTATTGGTGAACCTATACCCTAGACCTTTTATTATTGATTATTCCCTTAGTTAATTTGCTTAGTTTAATTATTAGTTTAATTCTCACGAATACAATTTGGTTACTTGATAATTTATATTATAATAATTTATTAGGAGTAAAAGAACATTGTTTCCATGTGGATTCAACCCTTCTTCTCTATCTACTTTAGTTAGAGGACTTAGAAATTACTTTTGATTAAGTGATACGACTTTAGCATGTCAACGTCGCGGCTCTAAAATCCTAAACCTAGATTCCTACACCTATAAATAGGGGTCTTCATTTAGCCCTAATCACAAAAATTCAGAAATTCAGCCTTAGAATTCTGAAAACCCTAATTCTCAAATTCTATTACTATCATACAACTTTTCTCCCTTTCTTCCCAACTACTCTTCAACCCTAATCCATTCCATTGAAGTCCTTGGAGGTACGAAGAAGGAGAAAAGCCCTTAAACGCATAAAATGGAGATTTAGCAAGGAAAGAAGAACAGTTAGTTTTCTGAGTACTTAGTTCAATCACCTTTTATTTTCTTCTTCTTTTAAATAACTTTAATCAGTTAATTAGTGTTATTTGATCACTTTAAATAAACTCTTACTAATTAATTCATGTAGTATCTTCCGCTAATTAAAGACCAGAATTCAAATAATTAATTGTTGATTTATTACTTGAGTCAAGGTGAATATTATTTGTTCTTTTCACGAATTGAAATTAAAAAAGATTAACGACATTGTTGCAATGTAACCTTTTTGTGGTTATTGTTTGTAATTAAAATCATCTAACTTAGTCTTAGGTATCACGTTGCATATATTTTTCGGCGATGAAATTGTGAAAAAGGAAGAGCTAGTAGATGCCGCACTAGGGCTAGGATGACGATTCCCCCCTTAAGGGAACATTATCTTAGTACCCTTGCTCCCGAACTCATTTCTGGTACAAGTAGACCAATTTGGGCATGGGTAAACTTATCATTCATGCTAAATATTCCTTGAACTTTACTTGGGAGAAAGACGTAAACGAGGTTTATGAGTTTTCCTAAAACTCATTGGCAACTCTCTATTGGTTTCTTATAAAAAAAAAAGCATAATGATAAAAATCAATTCTAATTCAAGGTCCCCCAAACAATCATAATTTCAAATCCTAACACATCCTAAAAAGTGTAAACTCCTAGGCTTTTAAAGGACCAAGAGCATAGAGGAAGTGGGATCCCTAATGACGGGCTACCCTCCTCACAGCAGCATTGCTACTATTATATTGTTGGATGATGATATGGAAGTAGGAATAAAGGATGAGAATGGAAAAGTTGAGCTGTCAAAACTGTTAGAGATAGGGAATCTTGTAGCAGAATATATGCCCATGCATTGTATTAAGTGATAGTTTGTTAAGTTGTTATCTTAATTATATTGTTTCAATTTAATGAATGTAAGCTATATAAGCTATTTTTTTTATGTAAAAATCATTTTTCAGGAATCAATACAAATTCCCTGTTCTCTCTCTCTAAACTTCTTCTCTGTTTATTTCTCTATATTGTTATTGTCACATTTATTATTTCCTTATAGAATCTCTTATTTTTTAGCTGATTTCTACTAGTTTAGTAAATCTTAATTCTAATCCATTCACTTGGGGTAAGTTGAGTGTGAACGTATCATTGGTATCAAAGCTAAGCCTTCCTTGGACCAGCCATGCCGCCAAAGAACAGCAATAAGAACACTGAAACTAGTGAAGAAGGAGAATTTGCATCTTCTTCTCATCTTCAGAAGCTTAAGGTAACTTTAAAGAAACTAATAGAAGAGCAGAACACTAGTTGTTGTTATTGTTATTGTTATTGCTATTGTTATCGTTATTGTTATTGTTATTGTTACAAAAACTTACAAAGTCAAGCAAATTACAAAAAATTAGTGGGGAGCTGAGATACAATCTGGGCCCCCACCCCTCTAGCTATAGTGAACCCGATCACGTTGAAGATGTGAGCAACTGCACGAGCACTAATATCCTGAGTCCTATCGAACGTCTGAATCCGCTTTAGCAATGCAACAACATCCTTCAAAAGGAGAAAGGAAGAAAACCATAGTCAATAGCCCTACAACGCGCCCTATACTTATGTCGCTTCCGCTAAGCAACATCTGACACCACACGACCAAGACCGAAGTCAAACAACCTAGATTGTGTCAAAGGAGAAGACCCTGTCAAGTCAACACACACATCAAGGCCTCTGTCCCAAGAATAAAGTAACACATCCGCAGGTCAAAGAGCACTATCATTCCCTCCAATCAACCCAACGTTAACCTCCTTTCTTATAGAAATTTCAGACTGAAAACAAATATCAACAAGGGTATCGCGAACAACACACATGGGGTGTGTGTGTGATTTCAATAAGAAATTTTTAAAATGAGAAGGATGAAATGTGCAAAAGTTTTTCACTAATGTGCATTGTTTTTAAGGATTTTTTTGACACTTACCACCTACAATAGTTGGTTTTTTAGGAATTACCACCTACAATTTTTTTTTATTTGGAATTTTACCACCTACTATTTCTTAAAACATCAAAACTTCCCACCTACTTGGCTCTGAATTGTAGTGTGATGTCCTGTGGGGCCCACTAACTACCTTCTCACCCTATTTCCCTCCTTTTATTTCTTTCTCTCTCGATTTTTCATTCCCCTACATTGTACTCTTCTCAAAATTGGGGAAATACTTCAAATTAAATTACATATTCATGTTAATTATTACAAGAATTGAAGTTTTTCCTCGATTTTGAGAGGAGTACAATACAATGGAACAAAAAATTGAGTAAGAAAGAAAGAAATGGACGAAAAAAGGGTGGAAGATAGTTAGTGGGCCACACATGCCGTCACATTTGAGTTGAGAGCCAAATAGGTGGGAAGTTTTAGTATTTTAAAAAATAGTAGGTGGTAAAATTCAAAAAAAAATAATAAAAAAAACAATAGGTGGTAATTGCTAAACAATTGTAGGTGGTAATTGTAAAAAAAATCTTTTTTTTTTTTAACTAAAACAGCAAAATTGATTTTTGGACTAAAAATAATTGAATTCTATGGAAAATCGGAACATGTGCACATTATGTTTAAAATTTATGCACATCGAATTTGAGTTAAAATATTTTTTTGCACATCTAGCTCAAAAAATATGCACATGTAGTACAAAAAGTATCCTTCTCATCTTTCACATTTTAAGGAACTTCTTATTTGACCCTAAATATATAATGTTTTAACTTATTTGAAATAAGACTAAAAATATTAGGGACTCATGATGCATTGGATAGGATTAATATTAAATTAAAATGATAAATTAACACGTAGGCGACATATATGGAATGACATGCATACCTAATCTAATATCACTATTACTAAAAATATCAAGGACTCATGGTGCATTATTAGATAGGATTACCAAAAGTAGAAATCTTAAATTAAAATGCACCGATTGACCCATGATTATGTCATGCATTACCTAATCTAATATCACTATCGCTTTAAATAAAGACGAGTCTCGCGGTCAGGTCACGAGAGAGCAACGCTCGACATTTTAATTTTTCACTAAGTGTCACACCACATAGACAACCTATAAAAGTAAGCGAATTTTGCGATTAAAAAAAAGGATAAGAGTTAAAATAAACTTTTATTGTTGATATACTTCTAATATTTCATGCTCCCTCCGTTTCTTATTTGTTGCAACAAAGGAGGAGAGCATGAATCCCAAGTCAAACTTTTTAAGCTTAATTATAAAAAATAAAGGGCATGTAAATGATGTAATAAAGGAGGAGAAAGGGTGAATAATTAATCCAACTAAAAATCCAACGCCACCACCGACGGACGCACCACCACCTTTTACAACCCACGCCACCCAAAACCACCACCCACGAACCACTACCACCTAGAACCGCAACCCGTGAACACATACCTAGACCCACAAACCACCACCACCACCCATACCCATGCCACCCAGACCCACACCTCCCAAAAACCACCACCGAAACTACCACCCACAAACCCAGATCTAGACCCACGAGGCCACAAACCACCAAACCAATATCCACGAACCCAAATCTAGACCCATGAGGCCACGAACCACCAAACCAACACCCACAAACTACCAGCACCAACACCCACAAACCACCAAACCAACACCAACGAACCTAGA